CGAGGACTACAATTAACCGGGCTATTTCTTCCGCGCCTCCTACAAATTCCCTCCAAAGCATTATTTCTATTCGAAAAGAGTCCGGCGTTTTGTTTTAAGGACACCTTAGTCTATTTAACACGAGACACCCTCAAATCACACCTAAATTACACAGCTGACATGATGAATTCCACAAAGCTTTTCCTCTTTTTTCTTGGCTGGATTCTGCCCTTCAAAATAGCTTTTTTATGTTCATGCCACTTGGATAATCTCTTCAGATTCAGCGTGCAAATGTGATTCATCTGCAAATCCCGAAATTCAGAGTATTACGAGAACAGCCTCCAAAGAATCACCTGTTCAGGTCTGACCACTCCGTGCTTTCTACCAAAGGCGACACAAAAGGAAAACAGATTCCCAACACGAATACTCAAGAGTACGTGAGTATATCACAGTGTTTCTCAACCTTGACAATTTTAAGGCATGTGGACTTCAACTCCCAGAATTCCACAGCCAGCAATGCTGGCTGTGGAATTCTAGGAGTTGAAGTCCACATGCCTTAAAATTGTCAAGGTTGAGAAACACTGCTATATCATAAACCTCAGAGGCCTGCCTCAATTGTTGAGCCTGCAGCTTTAGAAAGCTTTTCAGAAACAATGATAGGGCTCGCCTTCTTTTAGAAGCTGCTATTGTGTGGCTTTCAAAACATTCATTCAGGACCTTGGGCCCTTCCTAGGATTTAGCACAATGATGCACAGTCGCTCAATTAACTCCACCAAGGTTGCTAATCTGAGGATTTCCTGGAATGCAGAAAAAATGCAGCACAGGCACAGAATGTAGAATAACACAGTTGGAAGGGACCTTGGAGGTCTTCTAATCCAGCCCCCTGCTCAGGCAGGAGATCCTATCCCATTCCGGAAAAAATGGCTGTCCAATCTCTTCTTTAAAACTCCCAGTGTTGGAGCATTCACAACTTCTGGAGGCAAGGAGTTCCACTGGTTAATTGTTCTGACTGTCAGGAAATTTCTCCTTAGTTTTAGAGTTGCTTTTCTCCTTGATTAATGTCCATCCAGTTGCTTCTTGTCCTGCCTTCAGGCACTTTGACTCCCTCTTCTTTGGGGCAGCCCCTGAGATACTGGAACGCTGCTATCATGTCACCCCCTTAGTCCTTCTTTTCATTTAACTAGCCCAGTGGTTCTCAACCTTTTTAATGCCGCGACCCCCAGCCGGTCGTAAGTCGAGGACTACTCAACCGGTTGTAAGTCGAGGACTACTCAACTGGTGTAGCACCGTTTGCAGAAGGGGACTTTTGGCGGGCTCAGCAGGGCAGAGACAGCCTGGACAATTCCTATGGGCTTTTGAAAGCCAATAGAATTAGACTCTATTCAAGAGAGTCTATTCTATTGGCTTTCAAAAGTGAATAGAATAAAAGGGAGGAGCACAGCTAAGGAAAAGGGGGGAAAAATGGCGGACTGTGTTGTTTGGCGACCCCCATGGAATGGTCGTTCGACCCCAAATGGGGTCCCGACCCACAGGTTGAGAACCGCTGAAATAGACATACCCAATTCCAGCAACCGTTCTTTATGTGTTGGGGGGCTTCTCTCCTCAGGAACCCCCCCACCCAAGAACTCTCATGATTGCTTGGAGAGGAGGAAGAGGCTTAGGCAGCTGGAGGGGAAACCCACACACTTATATTTAAATTTTTATTTTTACAAATAAGGCCGTGAACATATCTTCCTCCTATTTTCCTCACAACCACCCTGTGAGGTGGGTTGGGCTAAGAACAAGAGACAGGCCCAAAGTCACCCAGGTGTTCGTTCATGGCTAAGGCAGAACTTGAATTTATCATCTCTTTGCTTTCTAGGCCCTGTGCTTTAACCACTAGACCAGGGGTAGGCAACCTTGGCTCTTTTATGACTGGTGGACTTCAACTCCCAGAATTCCTGAGCCAGCCATGCTGAGGGGAAAGGGAGAGGTTAACATGCTGAGCCATGCTGGCTCAGGAATTCTGGGAGTTGAAGTCCACCAGTCATGAAGGGGGCCACAGTTCCCCCATGCTGGCTCAGGAATTCTGGGAGTTGAAGTCCACAAGTTATGAAGGGAGCCATAGTTCCCCCATGCTGGCTCAGGAATTCTGGGAGTTGAAGTCCACAAGTTATGAAGGGAGCCATAGTTCCCCCATGCTGGCTCAGGAATTCTGGGAGTTGAAGTCCACGAGTCATAAAAGGCCAAGGTTCCCTACTCCTGCACTAGACCAAATAAATCCTGTAGTTCCAGCTGCCTCTTAATAGCATCTATTGTAAATACTTAATTTAATAGCACAACACACACGCATGTCTTTGGGGCCTTAACTTCCTGCTAGGCAGAGTCAGACCGATACCCTATCTCCCAAGTCTCCCATCGTGGTTTCAGTTTATTTTGCAGTCTAGCACACAATCTAGGCTTTCTTAGTGGTCTCCCATCCAAGAAGGCCCAAAGCTGCTCGGCACCAGCCCAATTTCTCTGTGTCCCCACTGGCTTTCCATTTCCTAACAAGCCCTCCCCTGGATGTGCCCCTATTCTGACAATTCCCCCCCCCTGCCAGTACAGTCATGTGATTAAAATTCAGTGCCTTGGCAACTGGTTCCTATTTATGACGACTGCAGTGTCCTCTTTTGTGATCTTGTTTTTATTAAAAGTTTTACAAATTTAATACAATATAACCCAAACCCCTCCCACCCCTCCCCCACTTCCCAGAGCTGATTACAGGGTAACAAATCAACAATCATAATTTAACTAACATTACCCAACTGTACTATCAATCAAACCGTAATATACTTTAACTCCTTTTCAAAACAAATATTAACAAATTGAAAACAAAAATAATAATATAATTAAACCATAACACTAAAACTAATATAAATTCAATCATATTAAACTATTAATAATAATCTAAAATCTACTCGTAAGCAAGATAATACTTTTCAGTCTCATATTTCTTTTGAATATAATCAATCCATCTTCTCCAAACCGAAATGTATTTTTCTTGTGAATGGTCCTTCAAATAGGTGGAGATTTTCGCCATTTCGGCTAAATTAGACACCTTAAGTATCCATTCTTCCATAGTAGGCAAAGAGTTTTTCTTCCAATATTGCCCCACCAATAATCTTGCAGCTGTTATAAGATTCAGCATCAAATTAATTTCTTTAGCATCAAAATCTACCATGATACCCAACAAAAATAACTGCGGGGTAAACTTTATCTTTCTCTTAAAAATCTTTTGAATATTCCACCACTCTTTTGTGATCTTTTGACAAACAAAGTCAATGGGGAAGCCAGATTCACTTAACCCGGTTACTAATTTCACAAGTGCAGCAATTCACTTAAGAACTGTGGGGAGAAAGATCATAAGGTGCGGCGGTTATAAGTTGAGGACTGCCTGAGTTACAGGTCCAGGACCCTTCCCTGTGTAGGCAAAGATAGCCCACCTCATCTGACTGGGTCCACCTTGGCATTCCAAGACCTGGCACATCTCCTCCCTCCAGGTAAAGACCCCCCATCTTTCTCCCCCTTTATCATTATACCCCCCCATTCACTGGGGCAGCCCATATCTGCTTAACTCATGAAGCCAGCCCCGTCCCCTCAATTCCCCTGCTCCCTTGACTGAAGACCCCTTCCAAAACAGGCAGCCCCCTCCCCAGCAAAGCCCCTCCCCCACCAGTGCCACAGTACTACAAAACCCATGTTTCAAGTGTCGCAAAGCCCATGCTGCCTAGCCTCCAGTCCCTGCCCCCTTTTCATCCTCCCCCCAAACAGGCAGCCCCCTCTCCACAAAGCCCCTCCCCCAAGTGCCACAGTACTACAAAACTCATGTTTCAAGTATCACAAAGCCCATGTTGCGTAGCCTCCAGTCCCCAGCCCTTTTCCTCCCCCCCAAACAGGCACCCCCTCCCCATCACCGCAACAATACTACAAAACCCATGTTTCGAGTGTCGCAAAGCCCATGCTACGTAGCCTCCAGTCCCTTCTTTTCATCCTCTCCCCCCCAAACAGGCAGCCCCCTCTCCACAAAGCCCTTCCCCCACCATCGCCACAGTACTACCAAGCCCATGTTTCAAGTGTCGCAAAGCCCATGCTGCGTAGCCTCCAGTCCTCAGCCCCCTTTTCATCCTCCCAACAGGCAGCCCCTCTCTGCAAAGCCCCTCCCCACTGACATAGTACTACAAATCCCATGTTTCCAGTGCCGCAAAGCCCATGCTGCGTAGCCTCCAGTCCCCTGTCCTCCTCCCCCCCCACAAACAGGCAGCCCCCTCTTTAAAAGACCCTCCCCCACCAGTGCCACCGTACTACAAAACCCATGTTCCAAGTATCGCAAAGCCCATGCTGAGTCCAGTCCCCCGCCCCCTTTTTCTCCCGCCCCAAACAGGCATCCTCTCCATCAGCGCAACACTACAAAACCCATGTTTGAAGTATCACAAAGCCCATGCTGCGTAGCCCCGAGCCCCCGCCCCCTTTTCCTCCTTCCCCCCACAGGCAGCCCCTTCTCCGCAAAGCCCCTCCCCCGCCAGTGCCACGGTACTACAAAGCCCATGTTTCAAGTGCCGCAAAGCCCATGCTGCGTGGCCTCCAGCCCCCCCGCCCCCTTTTCATCCTCCCAGCCCCACAAACAGGCAGCCCCCTCTCCGCAAAGCCCCTCCCCCGCCAGTGCCACGGTACTACAAAGCCCATGTTTCAAGTGCCGCAAAGCCCATGCTGCGTAGCCTCCAGCCCCCCCCTCTTTTCATCCTCCCCCCCCCAAACAGGCAGCCCCCTCTCCGCAAAGCCCCTTCCCCGCCAGTGCCACGGTACTACAAAGCCCATGTTTCAAGTGTCGCAAAGCCCATGCTGCGTAGCCTCCAGGGCCCCCCCCGCCCCCTTTTCCTCCTCCCTCTCTCCTCCGTCCCCCCCAGGCCCAAAGACGGGCGCAGCCCCCTCCCCAGCAAGGCACCCCTCCCTTCTTCACCTCCGCCAGTCCCTCCCCTCCCCCGACCCAAAAGCGCGGCTACCTTTCCTCCTGAAGAAAGACATGGCGGCGCCGGCGGGCAGGCCTGCCTGGGCCGTCCCTCAGGGCTGCTGGCTCGCCTTCCTCTTCCTCCTCCCGCCGCCGCCTCCCGCGCCCCGCACCGAGCAGGAGGAGGAGGAGGAGCAGGAGGCGGCAGCCGCCATGTTGTCAACAGCGGCCGCCGCGGCGCAGGCTCCTTCTTCCGGGCGGCGACGGCGCGCAAAGCCTGTCGGGAAATGAAGAAAAAAAAAAAAAAAAAAGACCGGCCCGGAAGCCTTTTTTAGCCCTCACCCGACAAGGCATCCCAGCGGGCATAGAGCCGGGCGTCCAATCAGAAAGAAGCGAGAGGAGGGAGGAGGCGGGGCGTTCAGGGAAGGCGTCTTGGAACAGGGCCCGCCACGCGCGGGAGGGAAGAGTGAGGCGGAGAGGCCATCTTGGAAGAGGGTGAGATTTCCGGGCCGGCGGAATTCTTGAGGCAGGGCAAGAGAATCCCGCACGGCCCATTCCTGAAACAGGAGCGGATGCCCGTTCAGCCATGTTGGATAAGGGCAAGAGTCCCAAACCCAGGAATAATAGAAAAGAATTGAATAGAAAATAGAATAGAATATAGAAAATTAGAATAGAATAGAATAGAATATAGAAAATTAGAATAGAATAGAATAGAATAGAATATAGAAAATTAGAATAGAATAGAATAGATATAGAAAATAGAATAGAATATAGAAAATTAGAATAGAACAGGATAGATATAGAAAATAGAACAGAAGAGAATGTAGAAAAATAGAATAGAATATAGACTAGAATTCTATAGAATAGAATATAGAAAATAGAATAGAATATAGAAAAATGGAATAAAATAAAATATAGAAAAATGGAATAGAATAGAATATAGAAAATAGAATAGAATAATTAAAATAGAGTAGAATAATAACTTTATTGTCACTTTAAATGTACACTAATCAACAAAACAAATATGAGATTTTGTTGCATACAGCTCTCAAAGGGTAACCACCTCCAATATAGGCTGCATAAACATAACAACAAAAGTACATAAAATAAATCACTCGATATAGAACATCTGCAATTTACAGAGAGAGAGAGGAAAAAAAGAACCTTTGTGAAAGTGATCAGAAATGCCCCAGAGGTGACTCGGACAAGCATTCCTTGCGGTTGTTGGACTACAGGTCTCATTTAACCCCACATTGATGGGAGTTGTAGTCCATACTCCTCAAAGATGCCTGGCTGGGGAACATTTTTAGGCAAAGTGCGTTTTTCCCCCCTCCACATTTAGCAACCCCCTGAAGTGAAGCCTGATACAGGATGGATTCCCAATCCTGGCTCCATCCTGGCTACAGGTGGCTACAGTCAATCCTGGCTCCCCTCTGCCATGTGGCAGCCCGTCAGATACTGGAATACTGCTATCATGTCTCCCCGGTCCTCACATTCATGACTGATGCAGCATCTCCAAGGTCATGCAATCAAAATTTGGGCAGTGGGCAACTGGCATGTGTTTACAATGGTTGCAGCATCCTAGGATCATGTGATCTCCATTTGTGAACACAGCCCAGCTTCCAACAAAGAATGTCAATGGAGGAAGCTGGATTTGCTTAACGACCATGTGATTCACTTAACAACTGCAGGGATTTGCTTAACCCCCCCCCGCCCCCAGGGAAGAGGTGGGTTGTCCATCCCTGGAGCTGTCTAAGAAGGATAGTTGCTTCTCTTGCACAGTGCAGAAGTCAGGACTAAGATGTTTCAAACTTGGCCACTTTAAGATGGGTGGACTTCATTTCCCAGAATTACCTAGACAGCCATGCCGACTGGGGAATTCTGGTAGTTGAAGTCCACATATCCTGAGATAATCAAGGTTGAGAAACACTGGAGTAGATGGTCTCTCAAGTGCCTTTTAGCATCGCCCTTTTAGGATTATCTTCCAAACTGCAATCTTCTATCATGGGGGGGTCTTGAAACTTGGCCCTTTTATGATTCGTGGACTTCAACTCCCAGAATTCCTGAGCCAGCATGGGGGAACTATGGCCCCTTCATGACTCGTGGACTTCAACTCCCAGAATTCCTGAACCAGCATGGGGGAACTATGGCCCCCTTCATGACTGGTGGACTTCAACTCCCAGAATTCCTTAGCCAGCATGGGGAAATATGATCCTCTTCATGACTCGTGGATTTCAATTCCCAGAATTCTTGAGCCAGCATGGGGGAACTATGGCCCCCTTCATGACTTGTGGACTTCAACTCCCAGAATTCCTCAGCCAGCATGGGGGAACTATGGTCCCCTTCATGACTCGTGGACTTCAACTCCCAGAATTCCTGAGCCAGAATAGCTCAGCTTGGAAACCTCTCCATTTCTCCTCAGCATGGCTGGCTCAGGAATTCTGGGAGTTGAGGTCCACAAGTCATAAAAGGGCCAAGTTGGAAGACCCCCTGCTCTATCAAGACCAGTCTAGACAGCAAACTTTTTTGGGTATGACAAAGAAGATTGATTTGCTTCGATGCACCCAAAGACTTTTTTTCCCTTTTAATTAATTAAGTTAATTTCTTTTGTAATCGCTGTTGCAAAAATACTTGGAGCCTGGAAAATATTTGGCACCACTCAATACACTGTCCCAGATAACTCTCTTCATAAACACAAGGGGGCGCCAGGGAATGGGTTTTCTTGCAAGCAAAATAAAGTTCTACCTGCTCAGTTTTACACTTTAGAGCAGGGTTCCTTCACCTGGGTGACTTGACTGTTGGGTGGACTTCAACTCCCAGAATTCCTCAGGCAGCATGCTTTAGAGTAGACTATGTGGACTTCTACTCCCAGAATTCTCCAGCTAGGGAGACCTTGAAGGGACCTTGGAGGTCATCTAGTCCAACCCCCTGCTCGGGCAGGAAACCCTACACCATTTCAAACAAATGGCTGTCCAGTCTCTTCTTAAAAACTTCCAGTGTTGGAGCATTTACCGCTTCTGGAGGCAGGTTGTTCCACTGGTTAATCGTTCTAACTGTCAGGAAGTTTCTCCTTAGTTCTAGGTTGCTTCTCTCCTTGGTTAGTTTCCACCTGTTGCTTCTTGTCCCGCCTTCAGGCGCTTTGGAGAAGAGCTTGACTCCCTCTTCTTTGGGGCAATTAAAATGGATGGACTTTCACTCCCAGAACTTCCCAGCCAACAAACCTTAAGATACGTTGACCTTGACTCCCAAAATTCTCCAGCCAACATACTTTAAGATGGGGTGATTTCCATTCCCAGAATTCTCCAGCCAGCATACTTTAGGATGAGTGGACTTCAATTCCCAGAATTCAACAGTCAACATAATTTAAGATGGGTGGACTGCCAGAATTCTCCAGCCAGCATGCTTTAAGAGGGGTAGACTTCAATTCCCAGAATTCAACAGTCAACATAATTTAAGATGGGTGGACTTCAGTTTCTAGAATTGCCCAGCCATCATGCCTTAGAGTAGATGGATTTCAGCTCCCAGAATTCCTCAGCCAACATACCTTAAGATAGGTTGACTTCCACTCCCCGAATTCCCCAGCCAGCATATTAACCAGATTAGAAAATTAAACTATACAGATATCCTAATCCAGTGTTTCTCAATCTGAGCTTTTAAAATTTCAAACTTCCACTCCCAGAATCCCCCAGCCCAGTTGAAATACGCCCATCTTAAAAGTTACTAAATTTGAACAAAGTGATTTATCAACTATACATCTTTAAAAAAATAAATAAAACTTGTATAATGCAGGAGCAGATAAAGTCTGTTACTCTATTATGAATAGAATAGAATAGAATATAGATTAGAATCTTTATTGAGAATAGAATAGAATAGAATAGAATAGAATAGAATAGAATAGAAGCTGGAAGGGACCTTGGAGGTCTTCTAGTCCAGCCCCCTGCTCAAGCAGGAGAACCTATCCTGTCTCAGACAGGTGAATGTCCAGTCTTCTCTTAAAAAACTCCAGTGATGGAGTGCCCACGATTTCTGGTGACAAGCTGTTCCACTGGTTAATTGTCCTCACTGCTAGGAAGTTTCTCCTTAATTCCAGGTTGTTTCCAACCATTGTTTCTCGTACTGCCCTTTGGTGCTTTGAAGAATAACGTGACCCCCCTCTTCCTTGTGGCAGCCCCATACTGGAACGCTGCTACCATGTCACCTCTATTTCTTTTCTTTAGCCAAACCCAAGTCCCGTGGCCATTCTTCGTATGTTTTAGTTTCTAAGCCTTTGATTATCTTAGTTGCTCTTTGAATTTTTTCCAAACTCTCAACATCTTTTTGTGATATGGTGACCAAAATTGGCTGCAGTATTCCAGATGTGGCCTCACTAGGGTTTTATAAAGCGGTACTAATACCTCGTGTGATCTTCATTCTATGCCTCTGTTTATACAACCCAGGATTTGTTAGCTTTTTTGGCCGCTGCTGCATACAGCTGGCTCATGGTCAAGTGATCGTCCACTAGGACTCCAAGGTCCCTCTCACAGTGGCTGTTTTTGAGCCAGGCCTCGCCCAATCTGTACTTGTACCTTTGGTTTTTCCTGCCTAAATGTAAAGCTTTGCTTTTCTCCACATGGAAACTCATTTTGTTGGACCAGGCCCATTGTTCCAGTTGGTCAAGGGCTCTATCCTTGAAAAGCCCCTAGAGCAGGGGTAGGCAACCTTGGCTCTTTTATGACTCGTGGACTTCAACTCCCAGAATTCCTGAGCCAGCTGAGGAAAAGGGAGAGGTTTCCAAGCTGAGCCATGCTGGCTCAGGAATTCTGGGAGTTGAAGTCCACGAGTCATCAAGGGGCCATACTTCCCCCATTGCTAGCTCAGGAATTCTGGGAGTTCAAGTCCACAACTCATAAAGCCTCCTAGGCCTAGGCCAAGGGTAGGCAACCTTGGCTCTTTTATAACTGGTGGACTTCAACTCCCAGAATTCCTGAGCCAGCCATGCTGAGGGGAAAGGGAGAGGTTTCCAAGCTGAGCCATGCTGGCTCAGGAATTCTGGGAGTTGAAGTCCACCAGTCATAAAAGAGCCAAGGTTGCCTACCCCTGCCCTAGGCTCTCACAGACCTGTGCAAAGAGTTCACCACAACCACACCCGCCTCTTTCCCCCAAAATGGCCCCATTCCCCCATGATGATCATTCAACATCCTACAGCTCAGGTGCACAAATCAAAGCTGCAAAACACAGGCTGGCCGCTAGAGGGCAGCAACGCCTTAGAATACACCTGGTCCCTCGCTGAGCCGCCTAGTGGCCGGGTTAGGTACTAATCCAGTACGGAAAACGCAACCGACCAAGCTCGACCCTCAGGCACGGGGGCTCTCCGCGTGTTTCGCCTCCCCACGTTCTCGCCGCGAGTCTTGGACTCCTCCACTCGCTGCAGCCCCACGGCGGGCGGATCCCGCTGCTTAGGCATCCCACGCGGAGTTCCCAGTCGTGGGAAAGCCTGGGTGGTTGTGTGTATGTGTGGGTGGGGGTCTCTCTCTCTCTTTTAAAGCCCCCCCCAACAATACCCCCCTTCTTCCGCCTGGCTTTTCACTAGTGGGGCAAGGAGACTTTTCAACAGCGGGGGAAGAAGGGAAGGCTTCACTGGGGAAGGGAGTAGGGGAGAAGACCCCCCCCCGTCCCCACGCCACCCCCTCTCTCCCGCTTCGCGGGTGGGTGGGGCCGGCCTGCACGTGATGGGGAGCCGGCTCATGGGAGACGCCCACCGGGAAGGCGAGGCCGAGCGGCCAGGCGGGGGAGGCACCTGCAGGCGCCGGCTCTTGCGGTGAGCCGCGATCACGCGTGGGTCGCTGGCTGGCTGGGGGTCCCCCACCGCCCGGCCCGGCCCCCTCCATGCCTCCGCGCCGCAAGAAGAAGAAGAAGGAGGAGGAGGAGGCGGGCAGCGGCGGGCAAGCTGCATTGCTGCCCGGGCGCCCGGCTCCATCGCTGGCCTCGGGCCGGCTGCCACCCGCCGCGGCGGCTCTGCCCACGATGATGTTCAGCGGCGTGGGCTGCTTCTGGGTCCTCCTGTCCTCCTGCCTGCTGGCCGTCTGCAGCCTGGGCTTCCTCTCGCCCGCCTGGATCGTCCGGCCGCGGGGAGGGGGCGGCCGGCGCTGGGGCAGCCCCGCGCCCGCCTCCGTGGAAGCCGTGGGCGGCGTGGGCGAGGTGAGCTTCGGCTTGCTCTGGCACTGCTCGGAAGCCGCCACCGCCGCCGCGCGGCACGTGGAGCCCTGCGACGGCCTGGGCGGCCTGGGGGGCTTCGGCCGGATCCCCTCCGCCTCCTGGCAGGTGAGTCCCACGCTGCGTGGGGTCGGTGAGTGCGTGGGGAAGGGCCTCGGCGGTGGGCTGGCTGGGTGGGGGGAGTTTGCCCCGCGCTTTTGGGCAAGGCGCCGGGGGTCTTCGCCCAGCCCGGAGAGCCGTGACCATAACGAGACGGGTTGACTTCTGTCTTGTCACCCACCCGCGATCGCCGCGTGTCCGGGCCTGGTGGATGGACGGACGGACGGGAGGATGGATTCAGCGGCGGGCTTTAGGGACCCCTCCCCACCCGCTCCGACCCGATCGGACCCGGTCCAACCCTGAGTCGCGTGTTCTGCTGGCGGCGGGTGGGTTCACGCAAAATTCACGCGTGGGGTTAGCGCGTCGTGGGAACCCGTGGGAACCTCTGGCCGCCTGTCCCGGTTGGAGCCCAGAAGGACGCGAGGCTTTAGCCGAGAGGCAGTTCTTTGTAATTGGCACGTTTGCTGCCTGGTAGCATTGCAGCACCAGTGGACAATAATTGCAACAATACAAAAAAAAAAAAAAATGAAATTAGGAGGACTGGGCAAAAGAAAGCCAAGGTAATCAGCAATAGTCACAGGGGCCTTAAGTGCAAGAAGCCCCATCTGGCATTGACCAATTCGCCACCAGTCAATTGCAAAAAAGGCAGCTTGGTCGGGAACTGCTTACATTCTCCAACCATATCTTAAAAACACCGTCAAACATCCACATCTGCCTATCCCAGGTTCTTGGGAAGGACTGGATAGGCGGATTAAAAATCCCCAATCCAGCCTGAACATCTGGCTGACTGTGAGACAGAGGATAATTGTAATTAAAAGATTAGCCTGGACAGGGCCGGTGAAATCGGCTCGCAGCCACTGGGCCAATTTTTCTACCTTGAGTGGGTGGCACCCCGTTTGGGCTGCCGATGGTGGGTCCTACACGGCGGCGGCGGGACTTCAGCACACTTCACGTCCCCAGTTTTGTGCAAGTTGCGGCACACAGTCGTGTGAAGGGGAACACGGTAAAGCAGCTGTGCCTTTTGCACCCCTTCCAAGGAGTCAAATTGCTGCAAATCAGAAAAAAAAAACAATCCTTCATAAAATCAGAGATTCAAATAAAGGTGTGAAAAGTCCATCCGGTTGCAATATGAGTTTATAGTAGGCTTTAAAAAAAAAAAAAATCCGGATCTCCGCTGAGATTGGGCTGTTAAAACTCCCCAAGGACCCCACTCCTGTTAAGATGAGCAGGGATGGCTTCAACAGGTCGCCTGCACGATGCAGGCAGCTGGGTGTTATTTTCCTACACGTCCTGCTGATGGTGTATTGTTGTTAATGGATCATTTTGTTTTCGCCCTGGGTTCTTTTGTTGGAACGTGCATGTGTGTGTGTGTGTGTGGGGGGTTTTGTGGTGGCAGAGAGAGGACAAAAGAATCTGGGGTCCTTTAGCAGGCAAGCCCATTTCATGGACTGTTTGATTCCACCGAATAGCCAAGCTGACGCCCTTCCTGGTAAAAAATGACAATTATGAATATTATTGGCGCTGGGCAGTGAAATGGCAATTGCAGCTTTTGGTCTTGAGTTTGCCTGGCTGGTTGTGGGTCCTTCCTTCTATCTTTCCTTCCTTTCCCCTTCTCTCCCTCTCTCCCTCCCTCCCCACTCTTTTATCTCTCTTCCCTCCCTCTCTTTCTCTTCTCTCTATCTCTCTCTCTCTCCTTCCTTCCTTCCTTCCTTCCTTCTCTTTCTTTCTTTCTTTCTTTCTTTCTTTCTTTCTTTCTTTCTTTCTTTTTCTCCCTTGTTTCCTTCCTTCCTTTCCTTCTTTCCTCCTTTCCTTCCTTCCTGTTTTCTCTTTCTTTTTCTTTCCTTCCTTCCTCTCTCTTTTCTTTTCTTTCTTTCTTTCTTTCTTTCTTTCTTTCTTTCTTTCTTTCTTTCTTTCTTTCTTTCTTTCTTTCTTTCTTTCTTTCTTTCTTTCCTGCCTTTGCTATTTTTACAAATAACTCTTGGGGTGGACATATCCTTCCTCTTCCTATTTTCTCCTCAAACAACCACCTTGCCAGGTGGGTTGCGCTGAGGCAGGCAGAACTAGAAGCTTTCAGGATTAAGCAGGACTGGAACTCACTGTCTCCTGGTGATTGGTTTAGTCACCCAGTTGCTGTCAGGCCTACGGTGGGACTAGAACTCACCACCTCCTGATGATTGGCCCAAAGTCACCCAGCTGGCTTTCCTGCCTAAGGCGGGACTAGAACTCACCGTCTCCTGGTGATTGGCCCAAAGTCACCAGGTAGGTTTTCATGCCTAAGGCGGGACTAGAACTCACTGTCTCCTGGTGATTGGTCCACAGTCACCCCATTGGCTTCTATGCCTAAGGCAGGACTAGAATTCAGTTTCCTGGTGATTGGCCCAAAGTCACCCACCTGGCTTTCACTGTTAAGGCGGGACTAGAACTCACCGTCTCCTGGTGATTGGCCCAAAGTCATCCAGCTAGCTTTCATGCCTGAGATGGGACTAGAACTCGCCGTCTCCTGGTGATTGTTTCAAAGTCACCTCGTGGGCTTTCATGCCTAAGGTGGGACTAGAACTCACGGTCTCCTAATTTTTAGCCTGGTTCTTTAAGCCCTTAACCACCTATTCAAAGTCTCTCTCAAACTGCAGCTTTTTTGTTATAGCTTCTTAGCCTTGATCTGACGGACAGGAAGAGATCTCTGATTCTTTTCTGGCCCCAAATTCTTGAACGAAACTTCTTCACTCTTTATAATTGGAAGCGACAGGATGCCGTTTTTAGCTTTCCTGAATGGCTAGCGTCAGGGGTTCCCAAATTGTTTTTCATGGCCAAGCGGAAGAGTAATTGAAGTATCTGAAAGTGAGGCCCTTGTAACGGCTAAGAACACACATTCCTAGGCACACAAACAGCAGCCCGGTGTGTGTGTGTGTGTAGGCACACAAACAGCAGCCCGGTGTGTGTGTGTGTGTGTGTGTGTGTGTGTGTTAAATGCACCTTCGGCTGAGGTGGGCATGACATGAGAGCAGTCTTCCAGTATCTCAGGGGCTGCCCCAAAGAAGGGGTGCTCAAGCTATTCCCCAAAGCAGCTGAAGGCAGGACAAGAAGCAACGGGTGGGAACGGATCAAGGAGACATCCAATCTGGAAATAAGGAGAACCTTCCTGACAGTGAGGACAATTAACCAGTGGAACAGCTTGCCTCCAGAAGTTGTGGGTACTCCAACACTGGAGGTTTTTAAGAAAGAACTGGATAGCCACTTGTCTGAAATGGTATATGGTCTCCTGACTGAACAGGGGGCTGGACTTGAAGACCTCCAGGATCCAACTCCTGTTCTGTCCTGTCCTATCCTATCCTATCCTATTCCATATTCCATATTCCATTCCATTCCATATTCTATTCTGTTCTGTTCTGTTCTGTTCTACTCTACTCTACTCTACTTTACTCCATTCCACTCTACTCCATTCTATTCTATTCTACTCTACTCTACTCTACTCTACTCTACTCTACTCTACTCCATTCTATTCTATTCTATTCTATTCTATTCTATTCTATTCTATTCTATTCTATTCTATTCTATTCTACTCTACTCCATTCTATTCTATTCTATTCTATTCTATTCTATTCTATTCTATTCTATTCTATTCTATTCTATTCCATTCCACTCCACTCCACTCCACTCCACTCCATTCCATTCTATTCCATTCCATTCCATTCCATTCCATTCTACTCCACTCCACTCCACTCCACTCCACTCCATTCTATTCTATTCTATTCTATTCCACTCCACTCCACTCCACTCCACTCCACTCCACTCCACTCCACTCCACTCCATTCCACTCTATTCTATTCTATTCTATTCTATTCTATTCTATTCTATTCTATTCTATTCTATTCTATTCTATTCTATTCAGTGTCCATAGAAGAAATCCTCGACTTACGATCACAGTTGAGCCCAAATTTTCCACTGCTGAGCAAGCAAGTTGCTAAGGGAATGGTGCCTCATTTTGCAACCTTTTTTTGCCATTGTCACAAAGTGAAGCACTGTAGTCGTTAAGTGAATTGTGAGGTTGTTCAGCGAACCTAGCTTCCCCATTGACTTTGCTTGTCAGAAGCCAGCTGGGAAAGTTACAAACTGTGACCTCACCCCCCCCCACCCCCAGGACAGTGTAACCATCATAAAGACATGCTGGGTTACCAAGCTTCTGAATACTACTACTACTACTACTACTACTAATACTACTACTACTACTACTACAGCAGAATAGACGAGAAAGAACCGGAGAAGATAACAAAATACAAAGACCTACAAATGGAAATAGAAAGACTGTGGCAAAAGCAAGCAAGGGTAGTACCAATAGTAATAGGCGCCTTGGGTGCAATCCCAAAACAACTGGAGCACCACTTGAACACCATTGGCATTGACAAATTCGCTATTAGTCAATTGCAAAAGGCGGCCTACTAGGAACTGCTTCCATCCTGCGACGATATCTGTAATACCATCAAACATCCACATCTGCCTATCCCAGGTCCTGGGTAAGGATTCAATAGGTAGACAAAATGCCAAATCCAGTCTGAACATCTGGCTGACTGCAATGATCCATAATAATAATAATAATAATAATGAAGTTGGAGCCGGATTCACTTAACAACCTTGGAGGTCATCTAGTCCAACCCCCTGCTCAGGCAGGAAAGCCTATGCCATTTCTGACAAATGGCTGTCCAGTGTCTTTTTAAAAACTTCCAGTGTTGGAGCATTCACAGCTTCTGGAGGCAGGTGGTTCTACTGGTTAATTGTTCTCATTGTCAGGAAGTTTCTCCTTAGTTCTAAGTTGCTTCTCTCCTTGGTTAGTTTCCATCCGTTGCTTCTTGTCCTGCCTTCAGGCACTTTGGAGAATAGCTTGACTCCCTCTTTTTTGGGGCAGCCCCTGAGATACTGGAAGACTGCTATCATGTCCCCCCTCGTCCTTCTCTTCATTAGACTAGATGTGTGATGTGATCATGGGGAATGTTGCAACGGTCATTAGGAGGACT